AAATACAGGTCAGCAGGAAAGTACATTTTCCTCTGTGTTTGAGAGAATTAAGGCTAACAAAATAGGTAATCAGTATAATACAAATACAAACAGTCAACAGCAAAGTAAATGTTCCTCTTTGCTGGAGAGAATTCAGGCTAACGATAAGCTCAGAAATGCATATGAAACAGTTCTAACGGAGGAGGAAAAAAATCTAACTGAGCCACATCAAATCTCATCAAAGAAATCCTCAACATCAGAAAGCAACCCTAAAATGTTTGATTCAACCAGGTACGAATTAGATAGTCAGCATCCACATAGATTAGTAATTTACAGTTCTAGTTGTGAGTCTTTAAACACAACCAAAAATATATGTGACAGTAACCTGAGCCAAGACATAATTCAGAAACACCAGTCCAGGTCTAGTGTTCGGAAAAGGCATAACCAATCCAGGTCAAGCAATAGCAGTTGTACCAGACCATGTTACATATACAAGAATAGTCGATCCACTTCAAGGGAAAGAATCAGGGGCAACCGATCCAGGACAAGAGATAGTATCAATAGCCGATCCACTTCAACAGATACAAGCAGAGAGTCTCCTATGTCAAAGCAAAGGAATAGAAAGACTTGGTCAGGAGCAAAACACAGACGTAGAGAGACCAGGTCAAGTTCAAAACAAAGTAGCAGAGACACTCGGTCCAGATCAAGTCAAGTGACTCGATCTGGGTTGAGACAGAGGTACCGAGTGACTCGGTCCAGGTCGAGACAGAGGAGCCGAGAGGCTCGATCCAGTTCAAATTGCGAGACTCGATCCAGGTCAAGCCAAGGGACTCGATCTGGGTCAAGTCGAGGGACTCGATCTGGGTCAAGTCGAGAGACTCGATCTGGGTCAAGTCGAGAGACTCGATCTCGGTCAAGTCGAGAGACTCGAAGTCGATCGATCCGGGTCAAGTCGAGGGAATCGATCTGGGTCAATTCGATCCTGGTCGAGACAGAGGAGCCAAAAGGTTCAATCTAAGTTCAAACAGAAGAGTCGAGAGACTTCATCCAGGTCAAGTGGCGAGGCTCCATCCAGGTCAAGTCAAGAGACCCAATCCAGGTCAAGTCGAGAGACTCGGTTGAGACAGATGAGCAGAGACTCTCGATCCAGGTCGAGACAGAGGAGCCAAGAGACTCGATCTGGGTCAAGTCGAGGGAATCGATCCGGTTCAAGTCGAGGGACTCGATCTGGGTCAAGTCGAGAGACTCGATCCTGGTCAAGTCTAGGGAATCGATCCGGTTCAAGTCGAGAGACTCGATCTGGGTCAAGTCAGGAGACTCATTCTGAGTTGAGTCGTTCCCGGTCGAGACAGAGGAGCCGAAAGGTTCGATCTAAGTTCAAACAGAAGAGACGAGAGACTTCATCCAGGTCAAGTGGCGAGGCTCCATCCAGGTCAAGTCGAGAGACTCATTCTGGGTCAAGCCAAGAGACCCAATCCAAGTCAAGTCAAGAGACTCGGTTGAGGCAGAAGAGCAGAGAGTCTCGATCCAGGTCGAGACAGAGGAGCCGAAAGGCTGGAACCAGATCAAGCAGAGAGACTCGATCCAGGTCAAGTCGAGAGTCTCGATCAAGGTCAAGTCGAGAGTCAAGTCGATCTCGATCCGAGACCCGAAAGGCTGGAACCAGGTCAAGCAGAGAGACTCGATCCAGGTCAAGTCGAGAGTCTCGATCAAGGTCAAGTCGAGAGTCTCGATCCATGACGAGACAGAGAAGCCGAAAGGCTGGAACCAGGTCAAGCAGAGAGACTCGATCCAGGTCAAGTCGAGAGTCTCGATCAAGGTCAAGTCGAGAGTCTCGATCCATGAGACAGAGAAGCCGAAAGGCTGGAACCAGGTCAAGCAGAGAGACTCGATCCAGGTCAAGTCGAGAGTCTCGATCAAGGTCAAGTCGAGAGTCTCGATCCATGACGAGACAGAGGAGCCGAAAGGCTGGATCCAGGTCAAGTCGAGAGACTCGATCAAGGTCAAGTCGAGAGACTCGGTCAAGGTCAAGTCGAGAGACTCGGTCAAGGTCAAGTCGAGAGACTCGATCAAGGTCAAGTCGAGAGACTGATCCAGGTCAGAGTCAAGGTCAAGTCGAGAGACTCGATCCAAGTCGAGAGAGATCAGGTCAAGTCGAGAGACTCAAGGTCAAGTCCAAAGTTCAGAAGTCTTCAGGTCAAGACAGACCGAGAGACTCGTTCTCGGTCAAGACGGAGGAGCTGCGAAACTCGAACTAGGTCAAGACAGACAAGCCGAGAGACTTGTTCTAGGTCAAGACAGACAAGCCGAGAGACTCGTTCCAGGTCAAGTTTCCAGGTCAAGACAGACAAGCCGAGAGACTCGTTCCAGGTCAAGGCAAACAAGCCGAGAGACTCGTTCCAGGTCAAGACAGACAAGCCAAGAGATTCGATCCAGGTCAAGACAGACAAGCCGAGAGACTCGTTCCAGGTCAAGGCAAACAAGCCGAGAGACTCGTTCCAGTCTCAGGTAAAGACAGACAAGCCAAGAGATTCGATCCAGGTCAAGACAGATGACTCGTGAGATTCGATCCAGGTCAAGACAGACGAGTCCAGAGACTAGATCCATGTTGAGAGAGAGGAACCAGGAGATCCATTCCAGGTCAAAACATAGGCGCAGAGGAACTTGGTCCAGGTCAAAACACAGAAGCAGAGACAGTGATTTCCGGTCAGGTTCAAGTTCAAGTGACAGAACATTGGGGAAGTTGAGACCAGCTTTTATGGACCTAGTTGATCCTGTCCACAAGAGTATCAATAACAGGTTAAGAAGCAGAGAGAGAAGCAGAACAAGGTCACATAGTAGAAATTCATGGACGAGTATTAATGACCTTCCATCATGTGTTGAAACTATACAAGGAAAGGATCTGAGCAGTCAAAAGAAGGAAAAGAGAAGAAAAAAGAAGGTTAAGAAAAGTAAAGAGAAGAGAAAACGATACAGGAAATCTTCAATCGGATCTGTGAAACTTAAGCAGGAGGAAAATTGTTCAACAAAAGAGATGCTCTCGACATACACTTTTGATAAAGAAAACAGCACCGAGGAAGAAAAAGATTGCAAGGAAAACAAAGTGATTGTGATTTCAAGTAACAGCAGTAGTTCAGACGAAAACATAGAAAAAACAAATAAACAAAGAAAACTAAAAAGAAAGAAAATTAGAAACTCACCAGCAAAAGTAGGAAATGGGGAAATTTTGCAGATGTCATGCCAGAGGTCTCCTGTAGGAACTTTCTTCAGTAGAAAAGTTTATATGACCACCGTACATCCAGTTACAAATGCTCTTCCTGTCCGCCAAACCTCCGAAAAGGACAGTGAAACGAGTGATGAGTTAAAGAAAGACACTAATGATAGTTATAGCAGACAACATACTCATCAAAGATATATGTCTGTTGGCTCATTGCAAATGGAAAGTCTCTCGGAGTCTGAGGAGAACATAAGACAAGATTCAAGAAAGTTGAAAAATTTGGTTTTGGATAAAATTTACAGGAGATACATTACCGAATCCTCAGACATACCGAGAAAGATAACAGAACCTGACAAAGAATTATGTTCAGAATCTGAAAAGGAATCTCATACGCTGTCTACAACCAAACAAACTGACAGTGCTGGACGTAGCAACTTCATCGGTGAGCAAAGCACCGGGGATTGCATTATGCATGAGGGAGACAGAACCGGTAATGTCCATGAAGATGAAACTCTACGGTTATATGAAATTGGAAATGGACTTTCAGATTCTCGAAATTCATCAAACAGTGGTGATATCTCAGATTCAGGGGTTGCAAATTTAGTAGACATTGCAGAAGGAGAATATGACAATAGCCTAGTTCAAAGTTGCCGTGTTGATAGCTCGACCAACGAAGGTGAAAAATCTGACCCCAAAACCACTAGTCTCAAAGAAGATGCAAAGGATGGAAGTAAAGAGTCAACAGATTCTGCTCGGGGTGCCGACATTGCTAAGCAGATAGAAAAGAGCAGTCAGAGGGTAACAGCGCTGCAAAATTCAAATCAGCAGGTCAGTTCAGAAAATGAAACTGTGACATCTTCAGCTACACCATTTGAAGAAAATGAGATGCTCCAGAGTGATGTCATCTGCATTGAAAACTTAGACAAAGGTACACCACTGCAAGATAAAAGTGATTCTGAATCAGTTGAGTCCTTCTTACTATTTGACGTGGATGATGAGCTAATTAGCGAGCAGGTAATTCAAGAGGGCAAGAGAAGGACAAGTGCTCTTGTGGATGGAGACAAGACTCAAGAATTAGTATCCATCAGTGAAAATGAAATGAATGAAAATGGTAATGTCTGCCACGAGACAGTAGAACTATGTTACATGCCAGATGACACGGAGGAGACAGAAGAAATTCAGTGTAATCAAGTGACGTCAGAAGAAACAGAATCTTTAGAGCGTCCTCAATTCAACAACTCACGCCATAGACAGGAATGGACGTCAAATATAGCAGAATCAGTAAAACTCAAGGGACGTATCTCAGCGTCCACAGTTACTGCGGTACGTAAACAGACCGATGGAAAACAGAAAGGTGCATCCTCAAAGCCCTCGGAGTCCCCAACCTCCATCCCTTCCTTGGAGAAAGAAACACCGGATACTTCATCTCACTCAGCCAAACGATCCCAGAAGTCAAAGGTCTCTATGAAGTGTGTAGAAAATAACGTTATCAATTACCTGACCAACATATGCCCGGAGTGTCAGTCTGTCCTAGTTCTAGATGAGTTCACCTCGGTTAATCTCAAGACGGGAGACATTAAGATGAAGTGCCAGCAATGCCTCATGTACACGTTTATGAAGGGTGCTCTTGCCTTGAGTGCGAGAAATTTAAGTACAAAAGGGCTCGAGATGAATTCGAAAAATCGGGTAGAATTATCGTCCGACAATAATCGCGACCATGATAAAGAAAATAGAGCAAATATGAAGAGTCAAGGCCCGAAGCGAAAAAGTAAAATAACACCACCGTCTAACAGCAAAAAGAAGAAACCCCGGAAGGCCAGCGTAGAAGAAAAACTGAAAGCCTTAAACAACAAGGATAAAAGTCCCCGCAAAACGAAAGGCAAATATCCCGTTTTGAGACGAAGAAAAGCGAGAAAGACCGCAGAGGTGGGTTTACAAGCAACACAACCTCAGCTTTCTCAAAAGAAGCCAGCGGTGGGCTCAGTCAAGAGAGGAGCGAGTACTGAGGCTGGGAATAGTGCCAAGAGGTCTAATACACAGATCGACGAAGGAATCTAAAATCAACAAAAGTGTCGTGAGGTGAACAGACTAACATGGCCGCCTCGAAGAAACAACGTCAATAAGAGGAGAGATTGGAATGAAGGTTAGTGACTGTCTCTTTTAATTAGTCAATATAGTTGTTTTCAATGTCAAATGTCAAAACGTTTTACAATTCTGCGAAAAATCTCACAGTAGTAGGATCAATTCTTTTATATATGATTAGTACAGTCCTGGTGTGTGTGTGTGTGAGAGAGAGAGAGAGAGAGAGAGAGAGAGAGAGAATGAGTTCTAGTATTTGTGTATAAGAGAGGGAGAGAGAGAGAATGAGAAAGAGCGAGAGAGAGAGACAGAGAGGGAAAAGAAATGGAGAGAGGGGAAAGAGAGAGAGAGAGAGATACTTTAGTTATTCCTAAATTAGTATGTTTTCTGTTACAAGGACTGTTTCAGGGTTAACTATTACTAACAAAAGATGCTCTATTTAAGGTCTTCGCACGCACACGCACACGCAAACACACACACACACACACACACACACACACACACACACACACCACACACAACACACACACACACACACACAACACACACACACACACACACACACACACACACACACACACACACACACACACACACACACACACACACACACACACACACACACACACACACACACACACACACACACACACACATACATATTGATGTTTAATTTTCCTTTCACAGTTCGATACTTTTCACATTGACAGACTCTGCCGCTATCGACGAGTCAAAGGAAGGACACCTTATCAGCCTAAAAGGAAAAAAAGAAGAGGAAAGGGAAAAGGAATCGAAATGCAGTGCTGATTACTCTCTACAGGATAAAACCTTTGTTTAAAGGATGTTTTTTTTTTTTGTTTTGTTTTTTGACATAAAGGATTCGGACACATTCAGGTAAAAAAAAATCTAAGGCAATATCTATATACAAGAAGTACGTAGGCAAAATTGCTGATTTATTAAATGTATGTATACGTTGTATGTAGGTGAATTAAAGGATATTCATATATACAAACTTCGGAATTCGTTTTGTATATATATATATATATATGTGTGTGTGTGTGTGTGTGTGTGTGTGTGTGTGTGTGTGTGTGTGTGTGTGTGTGTGAAGTATTCTTTATGTATTTTGGTCTTCATTCCAAGATTCCCCTTGAATAATTACGAGGAACATAGAGTACACAGTAGATCATTTGTTTTACTTGGAGTGCTCCATATGTGATGTGTTTTTGTATTTGAAGTACAAGTACCTTTTTTATATATGTAATTTTTATATGTATATTTTTGTAATAAACGTATAAAACTTGAAAGATGAAAGATGTTTTATAGAATAGACATATTGTGCAAGAGTTCCCGAATATAAATATGAACCCTCAGTTTTATGTAAGATTTTGTGTTGCTACATTAGTTGTGAAATTATGAATACATGAAGGTCATGAAGAAGAAAACGAAAACAACTAATATTTAAGGAGGCATATATGAGAAACGAAATAAAGTGATATTACCAAAAAATATAGGTAAAACTGTGACTGATAATAAAAACTTCCCTGAGAGAATAATGATAATGATCGTGTTTATGTTGACCATGCTTGTCCACGATCGTTTTGTCATTATGTTTATCATACTTATAGTAGTCTATATAGTTTATGGTGATATGGATAATTGTAGTAATAATGCTGATAGCTGTATTTGCAGATGTGCTGATGATACCAGTGAAAACTACCAGCAGGATCCATTGGAATTCCGCGGAACAAACAAAAAGTAAGAGGTACTCATGTCTCCTCAATTCAGGCTCCTGCTACCTTTCGCCTTCCCACTCCTACATTTCTCTCTCCCTCTACCTTTATTTTTCCTGATCTGCCACTCCTTTTCACCCCCAAATCTGCCTTAGATTCAGTTCTCCCCTCCTACTCTGAGCCCTACATCTGCCTCCTCCCAATTCCCTCCTCTGCCTCTTTAAAATCCGTACCGCTCTCTTATGGGGCGGTCACACTAGCCTTGTGTGTCCGGGGATCCCCTTATGCTAGGGTCCCTAGACAACCTCGCCGAAGTTTGGCCAGAGACAGGTTTTGATTGGTCAGCTGACCTGACCAGCGAGGCTGTCTAGGAATCCCAGGACAGAGAAAATTAGTGTGACCCTAGCTTTAAAGGATACTTCCTCCGCTATGAGGGGCATATCAAATATAAGTTCACTGTAGAAATAAGTAACATATATTATAACTAACAATGGT